GCTTGTATTACCCGGGCGATAAGAAGGAAGGTTGGGCGTAGGGCTAGCAACCCTACTCTGGAAAAAAAACCCAAATACTACAGAAAAAATGTATTAAAAATAAGTCTTTTATTCGCTTTATTCAGAGAAACAAAATGACGCAACCTAGTGAAGGCCTTCTGGAAGCCAGTCAGTGGACGTACTTCATTTAATAAAAGTAAAAATAAATATAGGAATATGTAATGTTCATACAGTTTTCGAAAGTGGTAAAGAAGGCTGCTTGGAATGCAAAGATATGAGAAGAAACGATGTAGAAGTTCTCAGTGGGAGCAGATGGAAGTGAAGTGGACTCCTCAAATAGGTAACTGAAGTGTGAATAACCCACTTCGGTTACCCAGATGAAAACCACCAGCATATGGAAGGAGTGGATATTATGATTTCAAGAGAAGAAGGAAGAGTTATACAAACAACTAAGAACAGTAATGGACGAAACCTGGGGTGGAGTGCAAGATAAAATTCCTATTAGGTGATCTGAATACAAGGTTGATTGGCATCAGACAGTACAGGAAGAGAACTCATCATGGGTCGGGAATCTATTGGAGAAATGAATGAGAACGAAGAACTCTTCACAGTCTTCTGGGCCTTCAACAACTCAGCAAATGAATGGAGGTCGCATATGCGGGCTCAAGAATGTACGTAAGGCAGCGTGGGTTTCACCACATGGACAACAAAAATTAAACAGACTTCATCTCAATCTCAAGAAAACAAGGACAAAGCCTACTCAGATACAACATCGAGAAGAACAGCAGGTGTGAACTCAGATCATTCCCTAGTGCGAAGGACCTTCTTAGTAGAATTGTAGACCTTCAAAGCAGCTGGAGATAGACCACAATTCAAGTTCGACGCCCAGAAAGTGGAGAAGACATTACTTAACACCACTGAGAGGACCTGTATGGAAGAACCCCCGTTGATAAATCTGCACCGATTTGATCGGCTTCATTTTGATATATAGGCTACTTGATGAAGCACTTCAATATTATCATGTCTAGTATCTGACTTCAGTACAAATAGTATGAACAGGAATACATAAATGTGAATAATAAAGTCAGCAAGTTTGTCACTACTACGCTTAGTGTAACCTATCGTGTGACGGTGATTTATTTTATATTTTATTTTGATTGTAGCTTGATTCCACACCTTATTTTCGGTACAAGTATGGAATTTTCAGCATGTGATATCGGTCGCCAAAATTTTGCAGGCCGACCATTGATATCAGGTGTGCGTCGGTAGGGAATCGAACCCTGGACCATGTGCATGGTCGCCGAGAGTCCTGACCACTGTGCCACCGATGCACACATGATTAAATTTGGTGTGTAATTATAAAATCGTATAACAGGATGTGGTTCATATTTAGATCGTGGAATTTGTAGGGAATCGGATTAATTTAATTTCGATTGGTAGATATCGTCATATGGCGTGTGCCACTGATAAGATTTATCAGTAGTATACAAAGAGACATTCATTGACACAAAACATATCAAATAGCAGGGAGATACGTTTCTTGTCAGAGAAAGCAAATGATACAGCATTGTGGAAATACATGGGAGACGCAAAAGGAACACAAAGAAACAAAATTTGATGGTGAGAGGTACCACAACACGGAAGATCTGTGCAAATGGTGCTTTGAAGATAAGGTGTACATAATTTAACTATATATAGTCAATTGTGCATTTCGAACATCCAATGAGATAAAACGAATCCTTAACAATCATGATATAAGAGTGTATTTTCGTGCAACTGACATCTTACACTCATCACTGGTGAAGCTTAAGCATAAAATAGAAGGAGACAACCAACAGAATTGTGTGTATACCAGATCAAATATGGGGACTGTGACGCCGTATATGTAGGAGAAACTTCCAGACAGGTAAGTGTAAGGGTGAAGGAGGATAAACAATGTCTAAAGGAGGCTCCAAAGACCTCCACAGAGATCAACAAGGTAGAAAACAGATCGGTGATTGCACTGCACTTGCTAGAAATGGGACACAAAATTGACTTTGATAGAACTACGATTCTACAGAAAGGTTTTGGTTCGTATAAAGGAAGAAGCATCGCATATATGGCTGAATACCAACAGTTTGAACCTTACTGATGGAGTGACGTTAGCTGATACATGGCGTGTCCTGATTAATAAATAAAAATGCATATGTATCATTATTTAATCATTATTGATCTAAATTCCCGATTGTCTATATATCTTTATGGAGAGGCTAACGAATGATTTTAAATTGTCCCCTCATGCATATACACACACTATTGTATAACGCATTCACACACATTTTGTCAGGTTAGACCACGGATTGATATCGGTTAGAGAAACATTGAAAACCAGCTGGGAGTACTAGACAGCTGTTTTATCCTAGTTTGGGACTCATCCTCAGCACACATACTGGGTTTCCAACCCAGCACCTTCCGGTTACAAGGCAAGCTGGTTAACCACTCAGCCACTCGGAGTCAATACTATGGTTCATGAATTCTAGCTTCTATCAATTCATAATTTTAGCGTGACCACCAGCCAATATCATCGGCGGGAACTCCATGCTCACTCCCAAATGGATGGACCTCACTGGCCATGACTTTCACCAGGACTCCAGGCAACTGCGTACTGCAACCAGTCACTAAAAAGCATCAGATTAATTTTCAAGAATTGGTTTTTGTAGGGATTTTATTGATATCCGGCTAGGCCACGGAATGATATCAGTTAGAGGACCATTGAAAACCAGAAAGTACCTGGCAGCTGTTTCATCCTTGTTTGGGACTCCTCTTCAAAACACACTCACTGAGTTTGGAATCGTGCTGCAGAGGAGTCCCAAACAAGGATGAAACAGCTGCCAGGTACTTTCTGGTTTTCAATGGTTCTCTAACTGATATCATTCCGTGATCTAGCTGGAAATGAATAGAATCCCTACAAACTAATTCTTGGAAAAAAATATATTTTTCCATATTCAGTTATCTCCGGCCATAAATTTTAGTCAAACACAATCACTAAAAATCTGATGCAAAAGTACACACTGATTACAGTCTGAGGTCAAGTTGTGATCATAGTTCATGCAATTTCGTTTATTACATTTTGATGCCCGTTTCATGATGCATATGATTTGACAAAGCTTTTAAAAACAAAATAATGTCCTTTTTATATATAAATATCTATTATTTTAATTTCGATTAATTTCCTTGAATAAGCTCTGACCACTTTACTGAACGTGGAAAATGTTGAAATTACTCACTTCAATTTCGCTGAGATTTTGCAAATGTAACTTTCACATAAGTCTGATCAAACATTTACTTATCAAATCAGTTTGTAGGAGGAATAAAAGAGCACTTAAAATAAATGAAGTAATAATAAGGTTAAGTTGTGGAACTATAGCACAGTATGGTGTTGATAATAAAGTTAGCAGTACAAATAAAAGTTTTATTTATTTATTTGGAAGAGATAACTGTTCTAGGTTGGGTCCTTGTAGGCTACGACTTAGAAATCGTTTTTATGGTATCTGCCCCATCTATGTTTTGCAGTCGAAAGCATACAAACCTCGGGAATAGAGGTGGCACCTGATGTAGAATTAATTGTAAAGGATCCGTTTTTTATCCATCTTGTTCCAGAATGAAGCTCCTGTTCGAGTTCACGATTCCTATTCTTAACCAAACTGCAAAATGCTCAAGGAGGTGACGGTGGGCTTGGCGAATCGTTCTACTTATGTAACTGTCTCCACAAGAACAGTTAAGCCTGTAAATACAAACTGAAGTGGTCAGAATCAATGGCTTATCCTTCATCTGCATTGGAATTATACAACGATTGGGGAATATTAAACACTTAGTTGTAGGTAATGAATGTTTTAGATATTATTTCTCTGGATAAAGTCTTTTGACCGTCCGTAGGCATATTTCTCTATCTGTTCTCATTACAGAGACTCTAATAACTCTTTCTGGATACCTGTTCTGGCATAATAAGTTTTCTATTTTCTATTATATCACCATCCAGATCGTCAGTTGTGGAGATAGTTTCTCATATTAAACATCCAGGTAGCGATGAGATTTTGTCTCTAGGCAAGTGGAATAAAAGACCTGAAATGGGTGCATTAGCCAACCCATGATTTTTTCGGGAAAATACCCTGTTTTAAACTGTTATCTAGACTTCCTGTTAGCAGGATATCAGGAAATAATAAAGTATTGTCTTCCCCTGTTTCGTATGTGAACTATATTTGCGGATGAACCATAGTGGATGGTTTGAGAAAGACATTGGCATTGATTTTATTCTTATGCAAGATAAAAGTATCGTCCATATATATGCAGTAGAACGAGAGTTTGCTGATTACATTTTTAAGTGGACTGCCGTCTGATTTTGTCATGAATAAATCGGCCCAGAGGTGGCGTCCGATTGCTACGCCCGCCACTTGACAATAGAATTCGCTGTTAAAGTGAAAATTCAAATTCGTGATAGAACACAGTAGCCGTCTCAGAAGAACTTGGTGATCTCTAATAAAGGATGCTAGTGAACACAGAAGTGACATCTATACAGACCATTGTTTCACTGCTGGTCTCCCTATTTTTCTCGGTTTTTTTCAACGAATTCGAAAGTGTCCTTCATGTTATACTTAGCCACTCAGTATCAAACAAATAAGATTTACAATACTCTGCATTCGCAGTTAGTCAATAATTAGGAATAAAACTAGTGTGCCCCCCTGGAGTTCTGCGATGGATGTTCTCGTTTCCTTTCCATGTAGAAGGAGGTAAAAAAACAACTATGCGTAATAATTTAGACAAAAATACCATTGCTGTTACTACTACTACTACTCATGCGCTGGTGGTTCGGAAGGGTAGGATGTTCACCAACCATCTCTGTCAATGAACCTCTCCTAAACCTCACCTAAGCGTTAGTTACCCCAGTGAAGAGGAAAGCCATATGCTTCACACGGAACTCAGACGAAGTGAAAAGAAAAAGAGTAATAATAATTAGCACTCACCTTGGCAACGATTAATCCCTCCATAAAATCTTCATACAAACGAAATCCCCATGGTGGTCCATTGCGTAAAATCAATCGTTTCTCTACATACGTCATAATTTATGGATTGAATTTGCTTAGAAATGAAGTTCGAAAGGTTTAATATCCAATTTTATGGTGAAACAAGATTGTTGTATGAAATATTATTCGACTGACAAATTAGAAGGTAATTAAAAATCGACATTTTATTTTTTTTTCGCCTTTTAATAATCAGAAATTCGAAATTACTGAATGACTATTGAAATAAAAGAAAAGTAAAAATAAAAATTTCGAAACTCCTGCCTACATTGCATTTCTATAAAACAAAAGAAAATGTCAACATTTATTCAACATTCAATTGATCGTCAAATATATATTATTGGATATAATCGTTTTCTGTGAGGAAAATTGTTATACGCCTCCTGAATACGCACAATCTTATTGATTGTTATGTGTGTGTGTGGAATCTAGTTTCCTACACGCACACCCACTGGAACTGTATGGGCGTGCGCTTTCACTCTCAAACACATGCCATAGGTGCATATACACAATGAACAAACGACGTAAATTTGGGAAAACTAGTGAAAAAACAAAATGGCACACTGAATGCACCAATCAAATGTTCCCCTAAAAAGGCAGTATTCATTCTTGGGATGTAAATTACCGTGAAATGACTTACACACACATCCATTTGCACACACAAATCCTACTGATTTGCCGATAGGGAAATCTCATCATGTGATAAAATACCTGTCTTTAACTGCAATATTTTGTTGTTGTTCATTTGACTTTGAAGATCAATAAAAATCGATTAGGAAGTCATGTAGTTTAGAAGGACAAAAAGTGTTTTCAAATTCTTTTTATTTACTGTTTTATGTTGTAATACCTATTACATAACTTGCATTTTATGCAAATAAGACGCATTTAAATGTTACAATGTTACCATTTTGTGGGGAGTAGAATACAAATTGACCCTAAATAGTTCGTATATAAAGCAAGAGTATATGTACTTTAGATCCTGCTTAGACAAAGGAGTTAAATATATGTATATATATATGTTCGATGTTCTTTCCTCAACTACACATCCACTTTTGACTCTGTTCCCAGATGTCTTTTGTTAGATAAGCTTTCCATAACACCAACTGACTCCTTCCAGGACGGTTAACTGGTTGCACTCTCATTTCTCTAACAGAGTACAGCACACTGTATATAAAGGTAAATCTCCCTCTTCCTCGCTTACTAGAACCGGTGTCTCTCGAGGTTCTGTTCTCTTTTTTCTCGCCTGACTTGTCTTGTTCGGAAGAAATCGACTTTGTTAAATATGCTTGACGACCTTACTGTCTCGTTGCCAATTAATTCCCGAGCTTACTATTCCAAAAGGAATAGCTTTCTGTGCGACATTAGTCAGTGGTCTAAGCTTAATGGTGTAACGCTAAATCCCTCCAAATGTCACATAGTTAATTCCGCTTTCAGGAATAAACGTGATCTTAATGAGCTCATTAGATTACACAGTGCTGGTAGCTTAGAGCGTACCAATATAGAGAATATCTATCTATCCCTCGACGTTTCTTAGTTATCCCATATCTTGTCAATTTCTAAGAAAATGGCCCATGTAACCTACTTCATTAAAAAGTTACAACAATCAGGAATCAAGCAACCGTAAATTTTACAATTTGTTAACTCTTTCATCTTATCTATTATTCTTTATTGTTCCCCCTTAGACTTTCCTAGACTACTCATTTTATATTGTGAAGGGTACTAAAGGTTGTTAGTAAGGTAACTTGTGTGCCACTTAGTCAGCTCGTTACTATGTTAGTCGACAGAGACTTAAACGCATTTGAGAAATGGTCTAAATCCATATTTTCTGACACTCATCACCCTCTTTATTCAGAACTCTCCCATAGCACCTCAGAATGTAGGAGTAGAAGTCATGATAAAAAATTTTATTTTCAAGTATTGGTTTTGTAGGGATTTTGTTTGATTGGATGAAGGATATCATCATGAGCTGACATCAGTTAGAGAACCATTGGAAAACGAGCTCGCCTTTTAACCAGAAAGTCCTGGGTTCGAGCCCCGGTAGGTGCGTACCGATGAAGAGTCCCAAACTAAGTTGACGAAACAGCTGTCCAGTACTTCTAGCTGGTTTTTCAGTGGTTCTATAACTGATGTCAGCTCATGATGAAATCCTTCCAATCAAATATAAAATCTCAATGATATTCCATTTAGCGCGCCTTTAATGTGATAAAGTTAGTTTTAAACGTGAAATTTACGAATTAATGGGTAATTAACATCAGTTATTCTCTCATAATTGTAATTTTATGGTGACACTATCCCCATTATCTTATAATTTCGTGTCATTAATGCTATTATTATTACTACTTCATATATGTACATCATTTTGACCCCACTGTTTCTGCTAATATCAAAAATTACTGTTATGAGGTTTTGTTAAGCGTACCTTGTGATGTAGTTGTTGTTGTTCTTCCTCAGTGAATTATATGCAATATTGTACAATATGCTGAAAATTCCACACTGTGTGTATAATAAGTAGTGTGTTAGAATTAAGCAAATTATTATTATTGTCGTTAATAAAAAGATCGAATATTTTTGAAATAATCCCATTATTAATATTAGAACAAGATACATTGGCAAACAGTATTGTTGCTTTCAGTTAGATCTTCTTCAGGCTTTACTCTAATTTACATAGATTTATATACATAGAAAGCCTTAACTAATGACGGTGATTTTGTGGATCAAATACTAATAATAATAGTAATGTGGTAAATGTTTTGAACGTAGTTAATAACGATGATTATAATGATAACAAAATATTGACAATAAGGTTTATGCAGGTGGCGATAAGAATAACAAAGGTAGTAATATGTGTGTATATGTAGACAATTCAATAGATAAATTAGGTCAAATCTTAAAAATTACGTAATACTAAAGGTGAAGTGGACAGATAATCAGAGTTTAAATAAATATGATAAAAGTACGAAGGAAATGGAAAATAAGAAAGGGCTGGGGGGTCTTGATTAGAATTCACCTAGGCAAGCAAGGGAGAGACAATGGTGGAACAAACTTCTTTCATATGCAAAGACTAGGCTTGTTCTCTTGAAGTAATTCCCACAGATTCGTCTGTGTGTAAAATTCCTTTCGAAAGACTCGATGGAATGCGATAGATGACTTTGAAGGCACTATTTCTGTCCACTTGATGACCGCTGTCAATCAAATGAACCAAAATAGAACTTCTTATAGATTTCACCTGGCTGTTTCAGAACCTTGAAGGAAGATGCTCATTAACACGTGTGTTGAGCTGTCTAGTTATTCGTACTATGTGGATTTCTCCACAGGAGCAATTATATATGTAAATGCACATAGAAGTAGCGCAACCAGTGACGACTTGTATTCTGCTTGAGCAACTATAGTTAGTCGCCTGGAAAATGACAAACAAAGGGTGGTGGCAGTATAAGTCTCTTTTATGCTTGTAGGTGATCTTTGATATAGGACTTTACTAGCCATGTTCCCATTGAATTGCAGTTTCGGGAATTCGATGAAATTTCTTGGAATGCTCATTTTACTTCATTTAAAGTGTTAGCTAAAATCTGTAGTTTGAGATTCGCTTTAATTAGAACTTATTTTGAATTCAAACAACCGTTCGAGTTTATGTGGACTCATCAAACAACCAGCTTACTTCGATTTTTAAAGGCTTCCTCTGAGTCCCGAGTGGAACATAGGGCTTCAAGTTGGAAACTTCAAAGTTGCGATAGCGATGAATCTGGTTGTTTTTTAAAGATATGGTTGCTAGCCTGACTCCGTCCTTCTGAGTTTACTATCAGATAGCGAAATGGGCGAAGTTTAGAAGTGCATCGTCTGTAGGTCAAACCCAGGACCGCGTTAGTGTTTGACGAGCACTCTCAATCTGATATCAATCCGTGATCAACTCGTAAAAATAACTCACATTCTTTTGGCAATATATAAGTGATACGTTCATCCATTGAGAAAATGTCTCAATTCAATGGAATCCATCCAGATGTGAAGTAGTAACTCTAAGAAGAACTGCCATCTTAGATGTCTTCCTCACAAGAAAACCAGATGGTTGTATAAAGAGAAATATGAATAAAATAATTAAATGGATAGGATAATATACATATATTCACAACCTTGTTCTTCTTCAGTATAAAACAAATTTAATAGGGACAGGATGCAACTGAAAATACCTATCAAGAAAAGTTCATGATGAAACAGGTGGCCAAGAAAATAGAAAAGAACTGTTCACTATCTGTAAACAAGAAGCCTTTGTATATACGGCTGAAATTCAAATGTGCTTTATGGAGTGAAATAATTACCAAAAGGTTAAGAAAGCCGATTCAATGAACGTTTAGTGATGGTAAACTGGAGGTCATACTTTCTACACGACTAGTTGTGATTCCTTAAATGAAAGCTGAGGTGCCTAGGCTAGCCACCTCTAATTGTATTAATCTGTTCAGCTGCTACTGTGGAGCCAAACACATTGGCCATTGGTTTCGCTACGAAACTTATTTTTTGTGATCAGAAACACCTACCAGTGTAATGGCTGAATAATATGTCGTGAAAACTAACAACAAATCGATATTGGATCACCTCGTCCAAACCGGTCATAAATCTAGCATTGAAGACCCCTACTCTATCATTCATTTGCATCGGTGGCGCAGCGGTTAGGACGCTCACCGACCATGCACATGGTTAGGCGTTCGATCCCTGGCCACCGATTCACTTCTTTACCTCGCTTAGCCAGAAATAAAAGCTGGTAAAGAGGAAAGGTTGGGCATGAGGCTAGCAACCCCATCTTGTAAAAACAAACACTGCTATAGAAACTTCAATCCTCTAGTTTGAAGCCCTATGTTTCACTGGGAACGTAAAAGAATAAAAAAAGAACTCTGTCATTTGTCAGGTACCGAAAATAAATTACTAAAGGCGTGTGGATATCAAAACTTCGTACATCATAGGCTATCGCCATTCACCTAAAACAACCATAGCTCAGTGTGCAAAAGAAACAGATCCGGCCATTATTACCTACTCTGGCCTACTTTAGAACCTAGAAATTCATAATTACTGCATTACTTCAGCCTTTTAGGAAAGACTTTCATTCTGTATGCATAAAACGCCTGTTTGATTAGCCTACACACTAACACACCTGCATATATAACCTTTATCCCCATTTTCTCCCCGTGTTTTTGATATGATCACTCATCCATATGAGGTTTATAAACAGTATTGTAACATTGGAAAGCAAGACACGGAAGCCAAGGTATATTTTCAACTGATCAAACCGCTACTTATACCTGTACAGTTTATATTTGTTAACCAATCACTGAGCGTGTGATTTTGCTTTATATTAAACGACATGAAATA